TCAGGAATCTAAGATGGTACACAAATAGACACCATCTGTCCCGAGCTGCTGAAGAGAAGGAGGAAAGAGTTGTCGATCATGTTGGTGTCACGCGGCCATCACCCCAGACTCTAGACAAAACAGAAGAGGAAGCATGCCAGGCAGAGGAAGCTTTGCCGCTCAAGGAGAACACAAGTGGGCTGACTTTGCAGCAGAAATACGTGGCTGACATGTAGCTCAGTGGTTGTGTGTGGGTGTCCGTGAGGCCCTTGGTTTGATCCTTGGTGCACTAAAACATCTTTGATCAGGGCTATAAAACTGATTCATGGAACCTGAGCTCTATGGGCCCTGGCTCCTGGCTCCTGGCCAGGCGTCTTTATTTGTTTCTGCACACAGCTCTTAAGTTCACAGCTAAGGGAATGTTGAAAAAAAAATGGTTTGGAATCTGTGTATCATTTTTGCAACATTGATTCAAAGCAGGATACTTTCTGAGAAACAAATATCATAATAAACCAGAAGGTAACAAACAGTGAGTGTCATCAGTTCCAAGAATATTTAAGTGTTCGGCTTTAGTCATGGTGTGTGCTTGTGCGCATGTGAGCGCGCACACATATGCACGCACGCACGCACGCACGTGCACACATACACACACACACACACACACACACACGCACGCATGCACGTTATGAAGTGCTCTGAAAACTTGCAAACTTGAATTTTTTCCAAACTTAGCTGGGGAGATAGCTCAGTGGGTGGAACAGTTGCTACACAAGTGGCTGGAGTGGACTTGGGATCTCCAGAACTCCTGTAAACGCTGAGTGATGATGGTGACAAGAGATCAAGCTAGGAGGCCAGCTTGGCCAGCTGCATAGGTGAGCTTTGGGTTCAACTAAGAGATTCTGCTTCAGTATATAAAGTGGGGAGTGCAGGCTTAGATTCTTCAAAACCTACCTTAGTAAGGGTTCCCAAACACTTCGACCCCTCGTCTAGCCCACCAATCAAAGGTAGGGGAGAAAAGATGGTAAATAGGACAAGGGGATGTGGACCTGTTTAGAAGTAGTTCTTTGGGTGGATTCCAATCTCTGTCAGGATACCAGGAGTCCACTTCAGTAGTGCCAGGATACCAAACACTAGTCAGCAGCAGTGGCACGATCCAGCAGAAACAGCCTGGCCTCGGCAGAATCAGCATGCATCAACAGGAGCTGCTAGAACCGGCTGGGACACCAGGAGAAGTTCTCTGCTGTGCCTCTCTCAATGACGTGCAGATCATCGAGGACGGCAGACCAACAGATCTCACTATGCAAGCGTGCTATCACTGTCTATTGAGTTCTATCTATACTCAACATCACCTGTCCTTCCATGGGTCTGACCTCAGCAAAACACCATGTGAGTCTGCATCACATGACACATCTAGGAACTTCCAACTCAGCGGGGCGATCAAGGAAGACACATAACATCACTCTTGTGCCTCTATAGGCATATGCACACACACAGCTTCATGTGCACACAACCCACCTGCAAGTGCGCGCGTGCGCACACACACACACACACACACACACAAAACCAATAAATAAAACCAGATTAAATAAATAAGTAAATATCCAGATTTCTTTAAACACAACAGCAATCCTAAATGTGCATTGGTAACTATTCATGAAAATGGTGGAAAATCTTCTGAACAATCGGTAAGAAGGTGAACTTTGATGACCTCTGTTGGAAGAGGACTCACTGTCCATCTGTGACCTCTTATGATACCGACTATGGAGTCAGCACAAGAAGTGACCGAAAGGCACTCGGGACAGTCAGGCTGCTGACATACACGGTTTGCCAAGTAGCACATGCTGTTAGGATTTACTTTCCGTTTTCAAACTAAATATTCACTTTTGGTCCCGATTTTGCAATCAAGAGTTTGGATATTTTTTTTTCTAAGCCAGTGTCCATTTGCTTAAGCCTCAGATCTGAGCAGGCCCTGCCTGGGTGGCCTTGCTGGCCTAGCACAGTGCTGTTCCCCTCTCTGTCTGTGTGACCTCTGACTGCCTTGGCCCATTTCCTCCCTGGATGGGTTGGTTCTTTCTTCTTTCTCCACGGCTCCAGAGGCCTTCGTTGACACAGCCTATCTCAGTTTCTGAGCTTTGGAAACTATCTTAGCTCCTGGAATCAACATCTAGATTCTGCCAGAAGAGAGTCTGCTTGAGCCAGCACTTGAGTTGGGTGCCCATCCTGGGTTAGGGAATTTGGCTCAGAAGACACAGCACAGTCCAGTCCTGCAACCAATGCAATGGGACCTGGCGCATGGGTGAATGGAGTCACCAAGGTTCCTTTTCCAGGGAACACTGAGATCCTTTGGGTCCAGGTTAAGGCTGTCTTAAGGGGGAATGTTCTACATTCACCTCACTGCAAACCTTGAGTGGTGCTATTGCTCTCTCTTGGGGCTTCCCTGAGCCAGGCAGGAGACTGAGCAGAAGCCTGGGGATGAGGGACTGGGCAACTGGATCAGTAAAGCCCCAGACTATAGCAGCAGGGCTTTCCCAGAAAGCAGCTGGGAAATGCAGCAATAGAACCATAGAACAGAGGTGTGGCCTGAGGGAGTGAGAATCCTGATGGCTTCTATCATCCAGGCCAGAGGGCACATAGGAGGTGTGGGTAGGGCTGGTCAGGACCAGCTTCTAAGACATTTGGCCAGTGTGGCTACATTCAGAGGGTTTTCCTCCTAACTGGAGCTTGATGCTGTGTGGTTACTATTTTTGACACATGGCTGAAGGAGAGAGCCAACTCCCATAGCTTATCTTCCGACCTCTACAAGTGTGCTGTCACACACACACACACACACACACACACACACACACACACACACCATGTGTAATTTTGATGATTTTGCATAGCATCTAAAATGTTAGAACACTTTCATTTAAAACTGCACAATGTAATGATGAACAGTAATATTTGTACTGATAATTTTCATTGGTTCCCCAACCCCCATCTGGAACATCTTTACTTAAAGGTGAGAAACCCAGAAAGAGGCCACAAGAGAAATGAAAGAGCTTGTCTATTATCTGCCTGTAGTGACATTTCCCCCTCTCTGTCCTCCAAAAGCTCCACACACTATGTGTTCAATCCTGTCTGGTTGGAATATTAGTCAACAGAGGAGATGGAGACTGGACCCTGGACACAGGGATGGTGAGCTTGTTTAGAGGTTGTATTGGTTTTGAGGTGTTGGGCTCACAAGATAGAAGTAAAGACACTGGTGTGGGGCGGGGATGATGGTTAGGGTCACGCCAGTGATTGGGTCAGAGTCTCCATGTCTAGAGCTTGGAAAGGCTGGAGTGGAGCTGAGTGGAGGGTGGTGGCTTGCTCCTCCCAAAGCAGGCGCAGAGCAGGAAGGGAAGAAGCCGAGCAAGAGAGTTAGAGATTGAGTAGCCAGTCACCCGGGGAAGTGTTGAAGTGGACAGTCTCCAGCCTCATACAGAGCGAAAGGAAGGAAGGAAGGAAGGAAGGAAGGAAGGAAGGAAGGAAGGAAGGAAGGAAGGGAGAAAGAAAGGAAGGAGCAAAGGACAAGGAAAAGAGGTAGGAAGAACAAAACTCTAGGCTATGCAAAGAAAAGGCTGCTCCTGTTTCGAGACGGATGTTGAGGACCTGGTTAGCTAGTTCCTTGCTCTATGACTGTGAACACATCCCTGCCTCCTTTCCTGTACTCAGCTCATGCCCTAGAGGACAAAGGAGATGGGACGTGTTGCCCTGAAGGGTCCTTCTGCTCTGACTCTGCAGTTGGGGATCTCTTTTCCCTTCCATGCTGCAGGCAGGCCTGGCTCCATCCCTCCTGTCCCAGGCTTATCATCTGGTCCAGAACAGCATGTGCTTCCCTCCTAGGGTGGGACAGCTCAGCACCTTGGAAAGTCATAACCCCAGAGACAGTGGAGCAGAGGCAATGAGGTGTTCAGTTTGAGCTTAGTCTCCCCAAGTCTGGGTTCTAGTTGAGTTATTTGGAAGTTTTGTGGCCTTGGAAAAGTCACTTAACTCCCCTGACTTCAAGTGTTCATCTGAAAAAGGGAGCTAACGGTATCTCTTACATCAGAATGGCAGAGGTGAGTGAGAAAATGTGCACATTTCTCAAAGATCCCAGCTGGCTGAAGCTTTTGCAGATGGGCCAGATGTTCTGATTTCAGTCAGAGTAACACATGGCTCCTCTGCCAATCAACAAAGTTCCTGAGGTAGTGCCCAGAACAACTTTTTGCTCCTGTAATTTTTAGTTTCCTTTTATTTTATGCATTTGGGTGTTGTGCCTGCATATATGTCTGTGTACCACCTGTGCATGGTGCCTGAGGAGGCCAGAAGAGAGCACCAGATTCCCTGGAACTGTAGTTACGGATGCTCTTGAGTCACAGGACCCAGGTTCACCACTAATTGAACCTGGATCCTGTGGAAGAACAGCCAGCATCTTAACCACTGAGCCATCTTTACAGCCCCACTCCTTTCCCAGAGACTCTCTGGGCTTCAGGCTTGAACTGATCAACTAAGAAGGCTGGACTGACAATGTCTTCACAGGAGAGGGAGCTTGTGAGTCGAACCCTCGGCTCAGGGGCTTCTGAGCCTGTTGGAGGACAGACTGGCCAATGTGACCTCAGTACTCACACTTCCATTTGTATCTAGTCTCTCAGGCATGAGACCCAGAGCACTGAGGTTTTTCAGGCTAATGAATGAGTCTTTCCTGAATCAACTGTCTGGAAAGAGGCAACTGGGACAGGAAGGAATGGATTTCTGCTAAAGTCACACAAACTTAAAAGTCCTCTCATCACCCAGAGAAAATCATGGCATTCCGAAAATAAGTTTGTCTACTCTGTCTGAGAAATGGCTGTAGTCATCCGATTAAGACTAAGATGTGAGCACACACTAAGTCTCCTGTGCAGCAGCCTGCAAACTGAGAATGATGGTCTTGTCTTGTCTCTCTTTCCCTTCGCTTCTCACCTCTTCCCACTTCCCACTGATGACCACATTCTTTGTACTAAGAATGAAGAATAGGCAGCCATCTTCCAGTTAACTCGCCAAAATGACGAACACAAAGGGAAAGAGGAGAGGCACTCGGTCTATGTTCTCTAGGACTTTTAGGAGACATGGAGTTGTTTTTTTGGCCACATACATGCAAATCTACAAGAAGGGAGATATTGTAGACATCAAGGGAACGGGTACTGTTCAAAAAGGAATGCCCCATAAGTGTTACCACGGCAAAACCGGAAGAGTCTACAATGTCACCCAGCATGCCGTGGGCATCACTGTAAACAAGCAAGTTAAGGGCAAGATTCTGGCCAAGAGGATCAATGTGCGGCTTGAGCACATTAAACACTCGAAGAGCAGAGACAGCTTCCTGAAGCGGGTGAAGGAGAACGATCAGAAGAAAAAGGAAGCCAAAGAGAAGGGCACCTGGGTTCAGCTGAAGCGCCAGCCTGCACCACCCAGAGAAGCACACTTTGTGAGGACTAATGGGAAAGAGCCCGAGCTGCTGGAGCCCATTCCATACGAATTCATGGCCTAGTGTATAAAAGAGAAATAAAGGACCCGACTGCAGAGCTTTTCAAAAAAAAAAAAAAATGAAGAATAAAGAACCAATAAGATAGCTCTATCAGCATGCTTGAGGGCTGAGTTTGATCCCTAGAACCCATGTGCACACGTGTAGTACCAATGTTGGGGAGGTGGAGACACATAGAGCCCTGGGGAGGGTCCACAGCCAGCCAGCCTAGTCTACCTGGTGAGACTCTGCCTCAATAAAAAGGTGATAGTCAAACATGTACACACATACACACACACACACACTTACACATTACACACACACTCACACACTACACACACCACACACACACAC